TTCCTTCCAGACAGCACAGGACACTTAAGGAAAAGTATCCTCTAAGACAGTCCTGTTTCCCTATCATATAAACAACTCTCAATGAAACCAGCAGTAATTCTTATAATGTAAAAACTGAAAAATCTTTCCCTTGACAACATCTGGCACAAAGGAAGCCATGAGTATTTTGCAAGATGGATCTTACAAACTCCTCCTTGCTGTTAAAATTTTAAGAGCTTTCTCAAAACTGCACTTCTCCATTGTTAAACTCTTAATTAAATTGATTCATACAACTAATGTCCTAATTTCGTGCCAGAACTTCAATACAAAGGGTTTGCTGCTGCTTGGAATATGTATATCCTACTTGAAATAAGAACTGCATAAACCATTAATCCATGAAGAGCATAGGAATGCTAAGGCTTAAACAGTGTGGGCTGGAAATTATTTTTTTGTGATAATCTTAGCTATGAGGATATATGCAAAAATATACATATAGGCAACAAATGATTGCTGCCATGTCAGATCAATCTAACTTCAAACGTAGAACAAAGACTCCAAAGAGGCAGATTTTAGGTGTAGATTTTACAAATGGGTTCCCATCGATTCCGGACTTCAAACAGCTTCTGCATGAAATTAAAGATTTGTCTATTTGTCTCCAAGAATCCAACCAACATATAGTGCTCTTGTGTAACCTATCTGCACTTAACTCTTGCCAGGAAATCCTACAAGATTCATTAGTTAGAAAAACAGAGCACATTCTGGTTTGAAACTAACGCATGTTAAAACTAAAACAAACAAAAAATGCCAGTGCCATGAAGGCAGCTAAAGCAGTCCCTGCATAGAGCTCTTTGAGATTTGCCCTCTATCCAGAAGCCAATTTTCACTAAGTAGCAAATTAGAGCACAGGGGAACTAAGATTATTACATCTAAGTGAAGGTACGGAATACATTTAGATGGGTGGAATTTATTGGATTATTTTGTTTAGGGAATAGAAGTTAAACACCACTAACAAAGCCATGAGATCCTTAATGAAGATGAGACTAGTTAAAGGCCTCAGTTCTGTATCTCATCCCAAAGAAGCACATTTCTAAGATCATTATTACATTCAATTTGAGGTTTTCCCTTTTCTCCCTCCAGCCTCTTAAAACAAAATCCAAACAAACATCCAAAGAAAACCTGTCTGGAAGTTGAATAATACAAACCATATCCCTATGAGTTAGGTTATGAGCTATGTGCTTGCATGCTGTATCTGAAAAGACACATCTGGAAATTCATGTTGTTCATTTACAAGACATAAAAGCTACTTGTGATGCCAGCACCAAGCAAACAGAACTGTCCCTACTGTGTTGATACGTATTATATATATCAATATGCCTGTATTTCTCAAACACTGTGTATGTTCTCCGCCTAGCAGCAATCCTACCATAACAAGCGACATCTAAATACATTTTGGGGGAAAGATAAAAGCTCCATTGTATGACAAGGAATATTATGACTAACAGAGAGATTATACTAATAATGAGGAAAAAGACAATGTTTGATCCTACTTATGCTGAAAGTTTTTAAAAGTGTAAAAAAAAATAATCTTTTAAATGAATTTTATCCTCAGGAAAATGATTAAAACCAGAAAAGCCTTGAGATGTCAGCTGGTGACATGTTTTTCTTCTTTATCTTTCTTTTTTGTTGTTGTCGCTGTGAAAAAAACACGTTTCTGAGAGAATACAGCAAAGTGCATCATTAACTTCTTATTAATTTTATAATACAAAGGCAATTCAGTTAAAATAGTGGTGCTGCAACTTTAAATTACAGAACTAGCTTGGTATTTAATGAGAGATTTAGCACAGCGGGGTTTCTGTTAAATTAAGTTGTGCCTTCACATCACAGTGGGAAAACAGGTGTATATTGGTTTAGAATTATGGAAATGTTGACTAATTCCAAGGCTTGTAATCAAACAGCAAGGCACCCTGCAATATTTTCTTCCAAGATTCTGTATTAATCATTTATGTCCGGTCTTATTTTCTTCATGTCCACTAAAAGGGTGCAGCTCAAACGAGCAGATAAAGCACTCGTGTTTTTTTTTATACCTCCATTAAGGATGAGGTCCACGCAAAAAAAGTAGATGTAGAAACAGAACACTGCAGGCTTTGATTAAATACCTACCTAAATTTAACTGGATGTGCAGTATCGGAAAGGGGATAAATTTCACACTAAAACCTCACTTTTTTGGCTTATCCAATGCTGATCCAAAACCTGCTTACCAAGCCATGTGAAGCAAGTCTGTGTCCAAGAAATGAAGATACTAAGAGACAAAATAATGTGGCCTGTATGATTTAATGAACACAGATGTATTTTCCTCCATGCTACTGCAGCAGTGCGGATTATACACGTGTGCAGGTAAAATGCAGGCAAGTTCCAGCCACTGCAGCACCCCTGCAGCCCCCTGCTTCCGCCTCTGCCATCGTTCCTTACCTTGCAGTAATAAATCACCTGCCTTTGCCTTGGATTTTCTTCCTGGACTAATTAAGGATGCCTCTTATCTGACGCATGGTGGTATTATAGTAAAAGTGTAAGGCAGGGATTCTTTTGTTTCCAGCAGACACCTTATTACAGAGCCTCCTACATACCATATCTTGCAGGCTGACACTGGATGCCCAAATGAACCTGATCCAAATTCATCCCTTGTAACTCTGCCAGAAGATTGCCTCCATTTGCTCTGAGACTGTTTCACACGTGGATATATCCACTGCTGATTCCTGCTCTTTCAGTGAAAGCTGCTTAGCAGGCAAGGGCTAACGACATGGAAATTGCTAAACTTCATACCAGGAGAATCCTGTATGAACTGAAGTGTTTGCAGCACATGTGCCATAACTTTAAAGTGTGCTGAAATGAAGTTATTTTGGGAACACACAGATGCAGCATAGCAGTATCACCATACACACTGAATGCAGCATAGAGCACATGGAAAAGACAGGAATATGGAATCTGTCGCATAATATGTGCTGAATCATTCCCGAAGAGAAGCCATGAATCTGTATTTGAGTTGCTTCCCTTTGTTAGAAGTGTCCCTTTAAGAAGGAGGCATAACAACTTATCTCAAAGGAAAATCTTCACATCTCTGGCAGTATCAGGAATATTTTTAAAGCCCAGGCCCCAGAGACATGGGAATGTAATTTTCCTATTTCCTTAAAGGGTAAGTTTGTAACCTCACAGTCAGGATAGAAAATCACAGCCTGCAAAAGTGAGTTTTATATGACAAAGAGCTAGAGACATATGAGGAAGTCAGGGAAGGAGTCTGCCTCTCTGAATTGCCTGCTGGGATAACTGAGATCACCCAAAACACAGCAACCAGCTCGACGGCCTCAGGGAAGAGCAGAACAAACAAAAGGACCTTCTCTGCTTCCAAGGGGAGTGACGTGGTAGAGATTCAGGGTAGGGTCCTATAGCCTACATGGACCCAAGGATGCTGGCTCCAGCAGCCTGGGACCACTTCCACTTAAGTGTCCATTCTGCCCAGCCACTCAGCATGGCCATTTGACTCAGAGCAATTTGGACAGCAATTACACAACAAGTTGGGTTAAGTGTAATACTAGCTGAACCGGGTTAGAGAACATTCATTGAAGGGCTCAGCATTTTCTGGCAGTGGGGATGGAAACCAGCAACTGGGGTTGCAGAGCCAGAAGATTCCACCTGAGCTCTGAATGGGTCTCAAAGGGAATTGTCCCTCAGAACGTTCCTTTCTCTCAGAGGATGGCACATCCACCCTCTACACCCTCAAAAGATGAGCCTGCTGCTTGTAAGATCTCAACACTGTCCTTTGCAAGGGGCAGCTGCTGGAAAACATTGCTTGAATCTGAAGTGCCACAATTTTTCTTTCATTTGTTTGTAGCTGGCCTACCTCTGCAGAATTCCTACTGCCTCTTCCAGCATTTTCACTAGTGAATGACTCCCATTTTACCTTGGTGAATTAGCAGGACTCATGGGGATCTATCCAACATACTTGTCTACCTTGGTCATTTTCATGACAGATGAGGTGGCTTTTCTAACAGGAGCTGTATAAAGTCAGCTGGCCAGATGTGAATTTTTCAAACACATAGCGCCCAATTGCACTGAGAGGACATAGGAACTAAGGGAGATATTGGTCATGTAACTGTCAGTCCAGTCAATGTTCTATTTATTTATGCAGTGCTGTATATATGCATTTATTTTTGTGGCTGTAACCACACACTCCAACCATACCATTGAACACTTCCCCTACATCAAGAGCGAATATCCCCCATCTTTTATATTTTTCCTTTCCCGTCCCCAAAGTATTTGGCTATGTTCAGTAAAAGAAATGAATACATTGGAACAAGAACATTTCAGAGCTCCATCATGCAATTACCAGTGATACACTTCTTTTTAGCCTGTAACTTACATCTGTAGGATAACACAAGCTACAGTCTGTACAACACAACAATTGTTTCAACCACTGGTGCGAGGTGTCAGTGAGCACAGGTTGCTGAGGAGAGGTGGGGACAGGAAACAGGATGACACTGCAAGCAGCTACGCGGTGCCACTCTTTAGGGTACCCTGATGTGCAGCCGCCACACCAACACAGTCAGGTTGTTTAGAAACCATGTGGATAAAGGCTGCATTTAACAAAGTTGGCTGTATTTTGCCTTTCCCTGTTCTCTCCCTTCTTGGACGAGAAGCCCCAGCAGTGCAGTGTTTTCCTGCCATATGTTGTCCGTCCCCCCGCCTTAAATAAAGAAAGAACTGAATGCACACTGTGTTTCAGTAACTGCCTCGAGTCAGCAGGAATCAGCACTGTTTCCAGCCTAGGGACTTTCTACAGAAGAGCAACTGCCTTTTGAGATGATGCCATTGCTACAGGACTGGCACTGTTATAGGAGAGACCATCGGGTTAGCCACCCTCCCTTGAAGAGATCAAGGTCATGTAGGGCACCAAGCAGCATCTTGAGCAAAAGGGCTATTTTTTGCTGGCAATAAAATAATTAGAATCGAAAAGTAAATGTACTCACCCCAGGTAAAGTTTTAATATTGTGCAGTGCATTCTGTGCCTCAAGAGCAGCTTTTCTTGTATAAAATGTTACGAAACAACAACCTATAGAGAGAAATGAAAAGCTTTCAGAAATTAGTGAGTATGATTTGTGAGAGTACAATAGGGAGGGACAAAAAACAGTGGTTGAAAAACACATTATGAAAGCTGGAAATGCGAATTATCATGAGTCTGCTTGAATGACATGAATAAAAGAAAGCTTTTATGGTTTAAAATAAAATGTCACCCCCTGTGCATTGCATCTATAGCACACCTACATTGTTAGTGAACTGCAATCACTTAGAAATTGTTAACCAAAATCCAATTGGCTTTATACAGTATAAATAAGGTTCTATTTTTCTGAAGGCTCCCCATTATATTTTGAATACAAGCAACAGGAATTCATTGTTGCATCCCAGACAAAAAATAAGGTTAAAGCAGGACCTTATTTATGGAGCCTTATATGTAAGAGCTATAGTTTGTTCCCTCTATGTGAAAACAGGCAGGACACTCATCTCAGTTACAGAGTGAAAAATAAGCTACAGGAGAATTCACCACTGGTGGGGTAGTGGAGGCTGCTGATGCTTGACAGCGTGAGGCTCTGCTCACCCTGCATCTGTCTTAACTTCAGTAGGCCAGTTTCAGTTGCCTTAATCCTATAGTTTTCCCTTTGGCAGCATGGTCCAACCAGGTTGTCTGTGGGACCAAACACATGTTGCTGCAGCTTTCTCCACTGCAAACATTTAAAGTTACTCTTCCCACAGGACACATGATCCAGGCAGATCAACACCAGCCCCAGTGCAGGACAGGGCTCACAAGCAGATTCTCAGGGAAGAGCTAGAACATGACGGGCATGAGACTAAAAAGCAAGGACCAGGACCTGACTTGCTGCAGTCTGTAATGTCCCACAGCAATGACACCTGTTTCTAGGCATGCATAGGGCATGTACAGAGAGCTTACTACAGGGGGACCTTGCATCCATGTTGCATGTATGATGCTTAACACAGTATCCCAGCTTGTGACTTCAACTTTACTTTGGGGCAGGGGGAGGGAAACCACTTAAAAAGCACCTCTCACACACTTGTATACATAAACCCAAGACTGCAGGTATGTAGACATAAGGAAAATTCATGCTTAAATAGTTCCCACCCAGCACAGCAGATCAGTGACGTATGACCACCCTTGGAGTTGCAACTCTGTACATAGAGGAAATACAGCGGAGCTGAATGCAGCCCTTGTCCCATAGACCCTGCTTTGGAGCCATGTCACATTAAGAAGAGACCCCAAAACTCTTACAAGAGCAATGGGGATGCAGAGAGGAAAAACATGGTGGGTAATGCTAGTTGGGAGGCAGAAGTGGCTACTGAAGTAAAAACCTGCTTCATATCAAACAAAATGATGCAGATTTTACTGATGAACCAAAAACCCGGGCTATTCTCTTAATCACAGACAGAGATTTGTTACGACTCCAGAGAAATTCAAAATCAAACAGTTTTGACAAAAGAATCCCTGACTCTCAAACCTTGGTGCTCCTTCAAAGGATAACACAGACAAAATAATCTGTCCTCTGGGCAATGAGGAAAGATGTTGCATCAACTCCCTAATGTTGACTAAGGTGAAACATCACATCCCACCTGATGTGCCTGCTTGTGTCCAACCTCGCAGCATCCCCAGAATAGCACAGGAGGCCCAGGAGAAAGCACAGACAGCTAGCAAACATTTTAAGTAACGGTGTGGAGGTGGCCTATACCACACTTTGGAAGGAAGGGCTGAATCCAGAACACCCCTTCACTGCCTCTTGTTTGGCTCAAGCTGTGCGTTGCACTGTGCATTGCACTGTGCACACTCCCTACAGCTTTGCAGCCAGGGCAGTGACGACAGTTACCTTTATAACAAGCAAAGGTAATCATGTATTCCCAGCTGGAATACAGTGAGTTTATCCGTAATGCAGAAAAGCACTTGGATGCAATACAATACACAGGCAGGCAGGTAATGCTGAGAGAAACAGTTTTCATACTGCCAACAGGTTCCTTAAAATTTCACAGTTTACAATAGAGATGGTTTAATAATTATTTCAGTGAGCTGAATGCTGTTTGGCAGGGACAAGCATTATAGACAGCCACAGCCTGCTATGCTTCATGCTTCCTATGTTTCCAAATCTCCTATTCCACTGGAAAAGTCTGAAAATTTGAATTATTTTACTCCGGAATGAAAACGGGAAATAAACCTGAGTTTAGGACATTTAATAGCATCATATTTTCTATCCTGCCAGCCGGCTCCAAAGTCAATCTTCTATTGTTTCTTCATTTGGCTTATTAGCTTTTTAACATAAAGATTTTTACCCAGGAGAGAGGATTCAGGGGGGAAGATATCAAGCAATAGTCATGACTTTGTGATTGTGATCTCCTCTACAATGGGTCCAAAGGGTGCGTTTTATATTCCAGCTCTGTGGGTTTATTCCAATCAGACGTTTGAAATCTACTGGTTTATCATTCTTGGCACTACCTGAAAGAACTGCACTTGAAAGATGAATACTCTGTAAAATACCCTTTAACTAGTCATTTTTGGGAAGTAATAGCGCAGAAGAGGAAAATGTCTCTGTGAATGAGGGATGGGAGGAAACAGTAGCTTAATGGGAAACACGCAGATGTTCCAGGCAGGTCACTGGACCCTGACAAAAATGGAGACTTCTAAGCTCACAGACCAACAAATCTGAAAAAACACATGGATAAAATCTTTCCCTGGACTCATTTTGCTTGTATATTCCTACAAAAACAAGCCCAAACAAAATCCACAGTAAAGCTAGAGATAGTTTGCTGTGGTTTGAGGAGAGTACTGGCACCAGTTGTGGACACCTGATTCTGAAGCTATCAGCTAAAGAGGTCAGGGATGGGCTAAAAAAAGAAAACCATACAACACAGAAGAACAGAAAAGGCAAAAGTGCAGAGGGCCCAAAGGAAGCACTTACAGCTCAGCCTATAGACTTTCCAAAGGTGCCTGCTGCCAAGTGACACAAACTACTGCAGCCCCCATGGGTCGGCTTTGAAGATGCGTTCAGTGTATAATCTCTTTGGCTCAGTACTACATCCCATAGACAAAAGTACCAAACTCAGTCCTTTCTGCAGAAATACTGGAAGGGAAGATGCCTGTGTAAGAGGACAGGGCTAATATGTGCTTTAAGACTGGTAGCTGGATGCTGCTGAAAGACAACTAGTAAACAACTTTCATCCCTCCATTTTCCCAAGGAAAATGCAATATTGCCAAAGATAAATCAGTGACACCACTAGAAAAGAAAAAGTATGTTTCCTACTATGAGAAAAGAAAAACCTGACCCTCCTCTCTCCATCCCCCTGCACACACAATCTTGGCTTCATCACCAACAAACCTGACAGCAGCTTGAACCACAACTAAACTTTTGTGACATCCAAATAACTCAAAGCCTGACAGTGATAAACTTCCCCCCTCCCAGTTCAAGGAAACTGCAAAGGTGAATAGGGTTGTGGACATGGTTCTGCTGATCCCCAACAGCCTGCAATGCAGCCCAGTTTAACTCCATGTGGGTTAGTATCTACTTGACCAAAGGAACTGGAGCTTGTGCTGCCAGTCAGTGCCTCCGATGCAGCACATCTCCTGTGTTTTGGTGAGCTGGGTTGTGCTCTACTTGGAACCGCATTTACTACAGCGTAAAACATTTCTTCTTTGTACCTAGAAAAAAGACTGAATGAATCATGCAGATCCTCACAGTCCCTTAAGGACATCAGCAACAACTTCATGGCTATTCTGCCAGATGCTTGAACAGACTGAATAAAACCTGCCACCCTGTGCTGCACAGCGTCTAATAGCAACAAATGGGATGCCTGAGAAACAAAGGCAGAAATGAGCCCTACTTCTCAACGCATCTGACGAGAAAACACCGCAGTGTGTACACTACAATGCTCAACTTCAACACCTTGTTCAAAAAAAAAAAAAGGGGGGGGGGGGGAAAGATCTCTTATTTCAGCTTGTTTTTTCTCTCTCTTTTTTTTCCTTTTTCTTTTTTCAAAGGAAATTTAGTGCCAGAAAAAGACCTCAAGGTCCCAGCCATTGGGAGAGAGTTGACACATTCAATTCTCCATGACACATTCAATTCACAAGCCCCTGCTCAGGCTGCCAAAGGCACCAATTAGCAGCAGTGGTGGAGATTTTATTTATTTAATTTCCACAGAAAACTGTTTAGCAAGACACGGCCAGGGGCAAACAGCCCTGTGTATGGCTAGAAACCACGTTACCTGAGTAACTGTCAAAGATGGCAGCAACAGATTACACATGGATCATGCAGCTACAGCTTCACTAAAGCAACCATTAAGAAGATGGGCAAACGGTGAGGACTCACACCACGATACCCATGAATTTCTACTGACAAAAAAGCTTGTTTCTGGAGGATGCTTGTGCACATTGTTGGAATGACAACAAATGGCAGAGTTTGCATTCTGAAACTTCAAATAATGCCATTCCTCCTATGAGCAAAAGGATCTTTCCAAAGAGCTGTTAGTGACCTGCTATAAGACTTCTCCTTCCATGCTGCTTCTGCTCTATGACCCATATTAGCCACCTGCAAACCCCTCACATCCACCCAGCAGACACAGCTTTGCTCGGCTCAGATACAGCCACATGACTGGGAGCTCCATCATGTCATTATTTTTATCACTTTCCCAATCCAAACACAGACTCATTACTCCGTGAGAGCTGTTTACATTCCTAATTCTGAACAACTAACAAAAGGAAGCTCTCCTCCACTCGGAGATATGGCTTACACAGTCCTTGCTGGCAGTTAACGGCACTGGGATCTGTGTAAGAGGCTTCATCTCTCAGCCAGGATTTCATGCTTGAATGGATACGGCATCCTCCATCTTGCTTCGGGTGTGAAAAAAGTCTCTCACAGCTCCCTAAACTGAATATCTGATTCCCAGGTTAAAATTACCAGGAATTACACATGTGCAACAACAGGAGAAAATAACCCTTGGATCTGAACAGGAATTAAAACACGCTGTTCTACAAGATGCTCTGAGGTTTTGATTTGCTTGAAA